TATATATATATATATATATGTAATTGTATACACATATACATATATATGCTACGAGTGAAATATTGCCTTTCCCTATGATATGAGAATAGAATAATTTTAATAAATAATACCACCAACTTGAGGTACACATTTTAACATTCCGACTTTGTACTATTCTTTAACATTGCACAAAATACCAGTCACCGTATCTGCAGTGATGAACTTCACCGTCGCAATGATGAAAACGTAACTAAACTGTCTTTTGATTTACTCTTCTCTCCTTTTCCTCAATAAACCTTAAACTTTTGGCAAGAATGGGATTGACTTCGAGGTTAGCGAAGGAGGGACTAGAAGGGACAAAGGGGAAAGCACTCTAAAGCACTCTTGGAAGAAAGACGAAAGTGCTCTGTCAAACGTTTTGGTCAGATTCGTGAAAGAGGTATTGGGGGTTATGTAGGTGCTTGGGAGGTGGGTTGGGGTGGGTTGGGTGGGGTGGGGGGGGTGGGGGAGGTGGTAGAGAGTGTGGGCGGTGAGGGGGGGGGGTTATTTGAGCAAGACACAAGACACTGGAGAGAGAAACAAGCACATTAGACTGAAGTTTCTGTAGTATCGGTTATAATTCCTTTAGTTTATGATAATCACTATTGTTACTATCATTACTAATATTATCATCGTTATTATTTGGTGTCTGGTTCTGTCTATCGGCTTTCTTGACTTTCCTCCTAAAACAACAATCTTATTTTCTGGGTCTTATTGCACAACTTCAACACAACCATCTACCATAGTCCCAGTGCAACCTACTCGTGCATTACTCTCGTATGTCACTGCATGTTATCAACATTAACAGACAGAAAATCATAACCAATACAACATATTTCGTTCTCTTAGTCACACAGACACGAAATAACACCAGAATGCGATAAGATATTGGAAACAGCAGTGTAGTGTATACTGAGAGATGGTAAGCCAGTCCAGACACCCCTGTAGGCTAGTGGCGTCTCAGAGTATAAGGATATTGTGATAAGTACAGTGTGTGTGTGTGGATATGGGGACGCTGTCGAAGTATTTGGGATTTCGAGGAGGTGCAACTTGGTTCCTCTGTGTTCTTTTACTTGGTTTTGTTTGTTGAAGTAGCGTTTTCCTGTTGGGTACTGTATCAAAACAATCAGATATGACATTTTGAGATTAGGAAATTTAGCTTTGACTCTGGTGAATAATTCTAGCCGAATTTCCACGAGGAATCAAAGCTTAGCGTTTGTATTCGTCTTGTTGAAAAAAAGTGGGAGTATCACTGAAAAATAGGGACATCGATTTGGGAAAGGTTAAGACAATGATCTTTAAAATCACGTTTCGTACATACCAAAACTTGGACTATAAATATGTGCTTTAGATAAATTAATGAACTAGTACCTGTCCACAACCTCTAAAGATCTCTCTATAGTTATTTGTTAAGTATATAAAAGAAACAAAATATGCCCAATCTGACACAGAATCATATGACAAATACGTTGAATAATGTCTTCTCTTTACGTGGGTCCTGAAAACCCGTATATGGCTTACCTGAAATCTGAACCTCCTGTGTTCCTCAGGTGAGACATCTTAAAAAAAAGTGTTTCATATATATATACGACACAAAAATAATAGAACACTTTCGCATTTACGTCTTGCTCGTACCTCCTGACAGTTAAGATACGACAATCGCCGAGGTTTCCCCGTATTGAGGGACTAAAGCACCAAATTGATATTCATAAATTCGTGCGATGGAGTTACCTATCACCTACGAAAAAGAAAAAAAAAATCTTACGAAATCTCGAAGACCGAAAAAAGAAGCAAATAAACTGACTCATTAGCTTATTCACTCCATTTTTTTCTTGTTTTCAGATTTGTTAAATAATTTCTGTTCTTCAGCATTATCTTCCAAATCTAAGCTAAACAGGTCATAGTATATTATGTATCACTTTTGTCCACAAAACACAATCAACATTTTTTTTTAATGAGATAACACGGTTTTGCAAGTTTGTAAAACAGTTGCTTATGATGCCAAAAACTGGGGTAATATCGAAAAAAATAGTATATCAGGGACCAGTAACTAGCTTGCAACATTCTTGGTCTTGCACTGCAGTGGTCTGCAACATCTCACAATTTAGCAGTCCGTTTCTTGCCTGCTAGTCCATACAAGCGGCCCGTAACAACCCTGAACTTGCTTGTTGGCAATCTTTCTTGCAGTCGATCGCAAGCTGGGGCAATGGGCAGGAGTGCACACAACATCTTTCGCATAATTTGCATAAAGTGTGCTGCCTGTTTTGGAGTCTTAGACAGTGTGTGACATATCGGTTCTTTCACTTTTGCGTTTCCGGCACTTGATGAAAATTTCGCCATTTCTTTGCCTTGCAGAACTAGATTCTCTCTCGCTCTCTCTCCCTCCCTCTCGGTCTTTCGCTCACTCACTCACTCCCACTCAGAACGATATTCTCTCTCTCTCTCTCCCTCCCTCTCGGTCTTTCGCGCACGCACGCACACA